TTGTAAACCAAAGGCTTTCATACACCCCTCCTCCACCTAGCATGCCATCTTTCAGAGAAGACCAAGTTTGTATTCAAGTTCAAGTCCACAGCAGCCTGGGTGTTCACCTTCTGATTATGCATAGCTGAGCAGGAAGCTTGCTGTACATTTTTACAATAGAAGACAATGAGAAATTTACATGTTCATTAAGACGGTTTTAATCAAGACAGCAGGCAGATCTCAAATTAAAGTTATGATGGAGCTGTTTGTACACCTCCCTCAATGAAAAGACAAGCATCATTTGCTCTAATTGTTGCTTAGCTGCAGCAAATCATTTTGGCTGTAATGACAAATTAGCACAGTTCTATAAGATATTACATTTTGCACTGGTTGCACTGGTTCTCCTGAAAACAGGTCAATTCCTTGTGAATCAGGATTTTGCTGAACTGGTTAGTTGTCTAGAAACTGGGGCTTGGAACTGGGAATTACTAAGTGCTAACGTTCACTGACCTAAGATGAGTAAGCCTGCCTCCCTGAGTAGATTAACTTCTCTTCAAGGACAGAGCTACTGAAATTCAGAACCTCCCAAAGAGGTCATAAGTAGACATCTGATTAAGCAAACAAGTTAAAAGGAGAACGTCGTGGATAACCATGAAAACGGTCCTTGTCAAGTATTTTCACATTTCATTGAGCAATTGCATTCCTCCAGCAGACAAAAGAATAACACATTAAATGTTCAAGAACTTGATGCTTATGCAATCCACCATCAGAAACGCTCAAGCTGCCCTTCCAGCTGATCAGAGGGTAACTGCTTTTCCCTGTCATCCTCGAAGCATTTGTACGGCTTTGTCTGCTTCACTTCTGAAAAACTATTCTAGCAAGTAGAAATTGTTCCAAAATTTAAGGTGTAAGAGAGGGGATATTTTTTCTGATTATATAAGCTTAAGTCAAATGTAGCTCACCAAGTTTAGCAAAACACCTAATAGTTATTATTTTTCCTAGATTCCTCTCTGTTATGTATTAGTGGAAGCAACAACAGATGGGGGTATGGCTTCAGGGCTGCCAAGATAAACTTTGCCCATCCCAAACTGGGCCAGTAAATTGCGGGCAGCTGTACTGCCAGCATCTGCCTTCTCTGGGCCTAGCTGGGTGCTGTGAACTTCACAGCTGCCCACAGGGGTGCAGTGCTTTGTATTTTAAATTGATTCCCATGCAGTCTCTCCTTTTTGGGTGTTTCCACTTTTGAGGTACAGCTTGGCAGTTGAGACTCCTATCCTCCCAGACTTGAGAAATCCAACCCTGTCCCCTGACCTGGCTTCTCTGCCTGTGATGGGGAAGGTAAAAATCACCTTTTCTTTCCTTCCGTAAGTATTTATCAAATGTTGTCTTTGTTTAGGTCCCTCTCTTGTAGTAGACCCCGAGGGAAGAATTCAAGTGTAAGTAGTTTGTGTGGGAGATGGTCCCAGGAAACGCTAATAGGGAAGTGTAGAGGTGAGGCAGGAAGGGAAGGCAGCCTTGTGGAGTCAATTACACTGTGGGCAACCTGAGCTCAAGCCCAGCAGGGAGCTCTGGGAGACGTTATAGGTGGTATAAGAATAAAAGAGTCAGAGTTGACTTATGGAGGGGGAGAGAGCTGGGTTATATATCCACCGGCCCCTAAGTGTGACTGGTTGAAGGCTGCCAGCAGTTAATTGCCCAGATGGTCCAGTCCACCATGTCTGAGGCCAGAGTGACTTTTTTTTTTTTTTTTTTTTTTTTTTTTGCTGTTTGAAAGGACACACTCTGGCAAGAGATGCAGATACTGGTAGTTGGTAGTAGAGCAAGCTCGCACTGCAGTGGTGAGGTCCATGGGGCTGTAATACAAGGGCTTCTTTTTCCAGCTATGAGGAAGACATTGAAATAAGGGCTGTGGAAAAGCTTTGTCACTTCATCAGTACATGAAGCAGAAGCAGCTGTGTTCTGCCGACTGTGTGCTCAGAATGAGGCCAAGTGCTGAGGAGAAGCGGCAGAAGTAGGAGAAATGATGTCGCACTGACTTAAGGGGTTTATGAAGTAGGGAAGATAATCTCGCTTCTGCCATGCAATGTGGGCAAATGGACAAAATATAATGGTCCATAAGTGTTAGGAGAAGACTGGAATTCTTGGGAAGGCCGTCACAGAGAAGGTAGGAAATAAAGGAAGGATAGTGTTTGCAAAAACGAAGCCAAAGCCTGTATAATTTGAGGACCAATGAGGCAGATGGTGTGGAGACAGAGTTCACCCAGCTGGTGATCCCCAGAAGAAAACCCTGAGACAAGAATCATGTACAAATGGTTTATTCTGGAAGGCTTCAGGTAGACCTTGTAAAGGAATGGAGAAACCCGACAGGGAAGGGAGGGAAGCCAAAGCCAGTGGTGAATTCAGACCCATCGGTGGGGCCTGCAGGTAGAGGGCGCCGCAGTGGAAGTCCCGCCTCAGAGGGGGTCCTCCTTCTCGCCTCCAGGCCAGGGAGCTGGGCTTCCCCTCCCGCCCTACTGTCCTGGGCATGCCAGCGTAGATTAGAGAAGATCATCACCCCCCATTTGATTACGGTCTAGTCAGGGGAGACAAACCTGCAAACATACAGAGGTGGCTAGAAAAATAGTTTCTGGGTGGTGGAGAATAAGAAACTCTACACCCGGAGGAAGTTCTCTGCAGACAGTGAATGATTTAACATCTACGTGCCGTAGGTGCCCCATGAAACGAATTAGAATCAGTCCACAACACAAGCAGGGCTGATTCCCTCCCAGGTCCTATTTTTAAAATTTTCTTCCAGAAAACAGTACTTTCTGAAAAAGTGACTGTTGAAGAAAAGTGGTATGAACCTGGCAGAAGCCCAGCTCATACTCCACATCCTTGACCCAAGAAAGAGAAGAGTAAATATCAAAACCAATGTTGGTAAGACTCTTGTGTGTTTCTCTTTTTCTTCCCCCCTGAAGGCATGTTTACTCTTTCAAGCACTAGGAACTGACTGTTTAAAGTATTTCTGGTTCAGGGGTCAGGCTGCCAAGACAGCAGTGGGCATTTTGTGGTAATGGTTTCTTTTTTTCCCTAACGTGATCTCTGTTTAGTGCAGGGATTGTGAAACTGCGGACCAACATCCAGAGGTTTTCAGGAGTTTTAAGGACCCAAACTGACAAAACACAGAACTTTTTCTTTATTATGAGCAAATGAGGTTCCATACGATATCATTTCATATTTTACATATATAAGCAAATGCTACATACTAGTAAGTTACTATATGAGGAATTCATTGTTACTAAAAATTAGTATTTGTACATCTTGAATAGCACAATATTGGAGTTTATTGAGAACTCCAATTCAGGATTCCAATGAAAGTCAGCTTCTGCTGAATATTTCACGTCACTCACTGTGAAATGTCACTGCTGCTGCATGCAGGCAGGTGGTACAAACTCCCCCCGGGCTTGGGGAGAACACTGATCAGTGAATCTCTAGGGGGTGATATCTACAGGTTTTAATTGCTGCTGTTCTTGCTTCCTAGTCATCAGTCATTGTTAGTTCGGATTCGTCTTTATCTACTTTCTTTTCTGTTTGGTTCATCTTCTCACGGGGAAAGTGCTGTTTGAGTGTGGGTCTCCCCAGAAGTAGACTCTGAGATAAGGATGTAAAGGCAAGGAGTTAATCTGAGGGCTGAACCCAGGAACCACTGGAAGGCAAGTGGGGAAGGAGGCCAGGGAGGTAGGAAAACCAACCAAAGGGTATGCAAATGAGCAGAATTCCTGATGTGGGCAGCTGGGGCCCAGGTCCTCTGGGGACTCTGGGGACACTATGCATAACATGCCTCAGTGTTGCCCAACCGGTATGGTGAGGTTTGGGGTATTTATCCAACATATTCCATTGGATGGTTGTTGAGGGCTGCTTCTGGAAGCAATAGTGCACAGAGACCTCCAGCCTGCACACTGGAACCTGCCTCTGCAGCTAGAGAGAGCCCCCAGGGAGAGTGACAGGTGCTTTATAAGAGGCTGTCAGGGAGGAGACGAATTGGAAGAGAGGGCCAGCAGGCGGTGGGCAGGACACAGGTGCTCTGACAGCATCTATTGGAGATGCAGATGTCCACGAACAGTACTTGGGGCCCATAGTTTTTAATCACTTGACTTTGAAATACACACATGTTGCATTCCAATGAACTATATAAGTCCCAATGGCTAAGTCATCAGGGAGAACCTGATATAAGGATGCAGTCTTAAAGCTGAAACCTGGTGGGTGGGAAGATGCCAGCCTTATAAAGAAGGGAGAGTGGTCCTGAAGTCTTCTGCATTTGATTTCCCATTTAAATTCTGAGCCTAGAACAAGGAAATTTAAATCCTGGATTGCTCGAAGAGTGATTCATAGCAATCACATTCTATTTAGAATAAAATTGCTTTTAGCCATCCTGCAGGATAAACTTTCAAATTTTCCATTTGATACCATTTCATCATCATGTTTCTCTCCTCTGGTCAGTTTCTCTATGCCCACCCACTAGTCAGATTTCCCAATCCCCTTTTCGCTAGAGTTCCCATCTCCCACTCTAGGTTTTTCTAATCTGGTTCCTTAGGAAAAAAGGACATCTCATTCGAGACACAGAAAACTTCAGTCCCCTCTAAAGATGGTGAGGATGACAACTCAGATACCTGGGACTGGACTTGCTCAAATTTTTCTGGTTACAAACTTCCCTACTTTGCCTTGCTTCTCTTGAGCATTAGTTCTGAAGTTTGTCTTAGAATCTTAATGTTCTGTAAGTAACTGTGTGGTCTTACACGAGTTTGTAATTTTCTTCTTGCTATGTCAAAAATTCCCGAGTCACACATTTCTCTTTTTCTTTCAGGGTGATATATTCCCAAGGGATATGTGGCTTCATCTTGAGCAAGTTCTGTAAGTAGTGCTAGAAACTATACTAAAAACTTCAGGAGAATTAGGAAGCCATCTCAGACCCTCATCTCTTAAAAGACATCCTGAAATCTTTTAAATGGGAACAGCATCACTTGTCACTACACAGTGGCAGTGTTCCCTTCCATCATATTCCCCCATCAATGGCACTGACCTCTCTTGGGTTTCTCTGATATTTCTGACTTTCAAAAGCATCATTTTCTCCCATGTGTATTTGGAGTTGTCACCTTCTTTGCCCGTGATTGTATTCTGTCTCCCGGAGCTTTTTCACAATTTTTGTTTCTCTGTTGGAAACCCTTGTGTTTTTCTGTACTAATATGGATTATTTTCATTAACTTCTTCTTTGCAAAGGCTTTACAGATGGGAGTAGATACCTGTACTCAGTTTGTAATCTGATGCCATTTTCAGTAGCCCCTTAGGTGTGACCTATTTTTTTTAATATCTGGCCACATAAAGTTAGCTCTCAATTAAGGCTGAATAAATTAAAGTTTTAAATCATTGCTTTATAAGAAGATTCAACTCAGTCATCCATATGCAAAATTAAAATATGTGTTAAAGGAATTTTAGTATCTGGTTTTCTGACCTTTATCTGAAGTCTTTTATCAACTTCATTGAATTTGTTGATGTAGTGCTGGGTAGCAGGAAAGAAAAAATAATATGTAAGCATATCTCACCATAACTACAACAGAAAAATAAACCCCTTAAAGCTGTAAACCAGTATTTTAATCTGTATATGAATCTTGCCTCTGGTGGTTTTTTCAGCCTTTTCTTTTCAATACTTCCTGAGACATCAAACTCATTATCCCCTCATGAGGCAATTCAAACCGGTTTCAGAAAGTTCTAATCATTAAAGAAAAAGAATATTCAGCAGCCACATTATAGACAGTTGTAAGAGCTGTGCTAAAAAATGTGAATAGCTTTCAGTGTCAGACATCTTGATTAAGAGAACTCTGCAAATAAACCACATTAGCAACCCAAGTAGACAAAGAAAACAGTTGACATTGAACTTCAACGTCCTCCAGCATTGGGAAGTCCTCATCCCCTGTCCAGCATATTTGTTTATCCAGCAGATGTGTACCCATTTGGGTAAACGTCTTGTTAATGTTTTGAATGACTATGGTTTAGTAAGCATATTGCTCAGGATAGATTTACTTTCCTTTCCACTTGTAGCTCAGATAAATCACCATGGCCCAAAGTATTTTGCTAGTTCTTCTGCAGTGGTCATGTTGCCCTGAAAGGGTCTTTGAGGAGATCAGCCTAAGCCATTTGCTCTTCATGAGAGGTGAAGCCCAGGTCTTCATCTCCAGGCTTCAGTTATAGTGTCAGAATCATACCCAGGTCTTATATGGTGATCCCTTTGAGCAGAATCCAAACACATTCCTATTTGTCTTAACCTCATATCAAAGGAGGTTTTCAAGGCAAGTCTTGAGATATTGTCTTATTAACAGTTTGACTGGCCTGATCCACATCTAAGGTGCCATGCGGAGGGGTAAGGGATAGTTTAAGCCTCCCTGACATCCCTCGTATTGATTGTTACTGCTGCCTTCACTCAGGTCCTCTCCATGTCCAGTCTGGGAGTCTGCAGTAGTTTATTGTGCCCCTGAGCCTCAGCCTTGCTGTAACACCCATCCCTCCCCTCCTGCAGCCGGAGTGCTCTTGCTTAAATGCACACTGATCATGTCCCTCTGTTGCTTAATTGCCTTGTTACCTTCTGCATAAAACTCATACTGCTTATCATGGAATCCAAACCCTGCACCAACTTGTTCCACCTCATCTCTTGTCTTGGTCTTTCTATCTTCTAGCCAAGTGGGGTTATCTCTCACCCTGGACAGCGGATGCTCCCTCCTGACTTTCCCCCTCCCTGTCTTCTGCTGCACCCCACCCTCAGAGTGAAGCCCTATGGCGTAGCCTCTAGGGAGCTTGTTTTCCTGACACTTTCTCCCTCAGCAGAAATAGGTTTGTGTTCCATCCAACCAGTTCTAGTGCAGATTAAGCTTCTCTCAAATGTGAGCACCGATCACTCTGCATTGTCATCATTTTCTGTTCTATACCCTCCCCAAACCTGGGGCTCTTAGCGACAACAGGCTGGGTCTTTTACGTCTGTAACATCGGGGTGTAACATGTTGTAGTTACCCCCTATTGCAAATGCATGATGAATGCACATGCTCCAGCTCAGAAGTGAATAATAATCCAGTATTCTGGAAAACATAATCATGCTGCTGAGGACCATTCTATACAATATATCATTTGGGTGAACTCTGAAGTAGCTGAGTGATGTTTGCTTTTAGTGGAAGCACAAAAATAAGAATAATGGTGATCTCTAGTAAGTTTTCCCTGGGTTATGTTTTTGTTATAATTTTTATATTTTCAAAGTTCTCTATAGGGAGCCATATAAGTTACACTTATAATCAGGAATGAAAGTTAAAAAACAGTGTATATCATTTTGTATTTGCATTGTACCTTTGTGGCAAATGTATGCAGAGCAAAAGAACTGGAATAAAGCTCTCAAGAGGTAAACTGGTTTTCTCTAGGGTTGGAGTAAGAGGTGATTTTCTTTTCTTTTCCTCCTAAATTGCAAGTTTTTTTTTCCTAGATGACTATGCGTTCGTTCTATAAGAAAAAAATTTATTTATAAAATGTAAAGAAATGACATGATGATTGATAATTTGAGCAGTCAAATAATCAAGCCATCCCTTATCAAGAGATCACTGAATTTAATCAAATCATACTTATTGTCAAGACATTGAACTACTATTTAGAGAACCCATGGAAAATAATATAAATATTGCAATCATTTAAAATAGAAGAAAATCTGACTCCGGAAATCATAACCGGCAAATTTGTTTTGGACCTTTTTTAAGTTAAGTGTATCACTGGGTTGGGAGCAGAACCCAAGTCCAGTTACGAATTATAGAGGTGGTTTTTAATGGAATATAACTATCCATTTCTGTTGCCAAATCTGTTATCCTTCAGTACACAATACATCGGAGATTAAAATCCCACATATTCAGCAAAAGATTTACTATGAAGCAGTAAAAATAGATCTAGCCATAATTTATACAGGTGCACATTTATAGGGAGGACATAAATGTTTGAAAAAATGGCAATGAGAGAAAAGAGGAACCAATATTATTTTAGAATATTTATATCTTTTGACTTTCTTCTTTAAATCCACATACTTTACATGTATCATGAGTCAAAATGACACACTACTTCAATATTTATCAAGCAGTTCCGATTTCCCTGACTTGCATTTGGTAAGAGCTGAGTAAATCAGTTACTCATGGTTATTTATTGAAAAGAAGATTGGGTATGTTTTTTAGCCATCAGGATTTTACTTTTGTGAGCAAAGTCATGTTAAGTTCTTAGAGGTCCCTGTACATTGTCAATTATCATGAGCTGAAAATATGATTTCCGAACTTGCTCATAAATAATTTTCATGTATAAGTAAATGGTAGAGGAGTTTGTCCTAGAGGTGGTCCTAAAGGTGGTCTGAAAATTAAATCCAGAAAGCTACACAAATGCAAATATTTGGACAGAGAAGTCCAATAATGCCTACCTGAAAGATAGAAATATACACGTTTATCACTTTAGAGTATGACAGAGAGTAAATAAAGTAACTAACTACCTAGTGTATATTATCCCATTGAGTCTTTACTACAAACCTGCAAAGTAAGTCAAGGTAGTCAACAGCCTGTAATATCAGTTGTTTATAACCCACCATGTCCACTGACAGGCAGCTCTGAACCCTGTTTCATCCCTCATCAGCTGACAGAGTACCAGCAGCAGAGGGAAGGAAAGCTTGGGGAGTCTCAAACTTGCAGTTCAAAGTTTCAGCAGGAAAATGGTAAACATGTGCTCACAATTCATTATTCAGAACTAATCACCTGGCACCACCCAACCACAAGGGGTGGGGCAGGGAGAGCAACCCCACGGTGTATCCGGAAGTGGGAAGAACAGGAAATATTTGGTGGCTAGTACTAATCACTTCTGTAGTAAATGTGTGTCTCTATTTTGTACACAGGAAACAGAACCTGAGGACAGACAACTTGCCAGGTCACATAACAAGGAAATGAAAGAAGTTGACTTGTTATTAAAGAAACAAACATGATATGCAAGACTCGGACATTGTGCTGTACACCAGAGACTGATACATTGTAATTGACTATGCTTCAATAAATAAAATAAGATAAAGAAACAAGCATGAATTTAACAATATTCCCATAGCAAGTTCTGAGCTTAACAATATTCTTATAGCAAATTCTAAGCCTACCAATTCTGTGTCACTTAGAAAGATACAGGAAAATTAAGAGAGTAAACAGGGATTAGCAGGTATCTCTCTGTTTCACTTTTGTGAATCTGAAATCCTCTGTCTATCCTTCCAGCTGCCTCCCTCAAAGGCTAGAGTTAAAAAATATTGTCTTTCTATTACCAGGGATGAGTTCCTTATGAAATTGTTATGGCCCTTGGAGTTCTCGGGGTGATTTATTGAAGATAAAGAGCGATGCGACTTGCAATCACTTGGAAGATGTCAGCAATGTGAAGCCAAATAACCTTCAGGATGAGGCAGTACTTTCTATCCAGACTGCCTCAATGATGTGCATTCTTCATTAAGCTGAATTAGAGACAGGGCTGGTGCATGCACAACTGCAGGGGGCAATGTTCACATAGTATTCTATGTTGACGGTGCCTCCTGTACTTGTGCAATGTGTTGATCAAAGAAAATATTTTTTCCTAGGAGGCAAATGTTAGATTTCTCCATTCCAGCCCCTCTCCTCCAACAGTATTTCACTTTTTATGAGTAGGGGTTGGGAGGGAATATATTATCAGTAAAGTCTTGAAGAATCTACAAAGTTTGCACTTCCATTGAAGGTTCAGCCAGTGGAAGCTCTTCCTATTACTTCCCTTTTAGCATTTGACATCTTGTCATCTACAGCACTTGCTATTAGGTACTAAAGAATGTCTACTTTCCCAGATATTCCAGCACCAAACCAGCAGCAAATTTACATTGCTTCTGCATAACGCTCAGAAATTATCTCCACCCATTAATACACTGGGGTGCTCTCAAAAAAAAGTCACCTTGCCCATTTCCCACCCTTAGGATCTGATTTAATTGACCTGGGGTAGGTTTAGGCCAAGAGCATTTTACAAAGTTCTTCAGATGGTTCTAACAGTAGCCTAGGTTGAGAACCATAGACCTAGGAAATAGGTTATTATTAAGAAGTTCAATTTATTCAGTTAGAAACATGAGAAAACTAACATTGCTCTAACAAAAAGAACCAAAAAAGATAAATTGTAATAATTTGATGCCTCAACCTACAAATTTGGCTGGTACCATTGTTAGGCTAGAATGACAGAGGGAGGACGTGTTGCTACCAGAGCCAGGGTCACATAGTGGAAGCTGGAACCACAGTGTTGTGGAGACCAAACTCGTTCTGCTCACTGCACAACAGGCCAATAAATCAGGAGCCGAGGTGGTGGGGCAAGGAATAGCGACTTTATTCAGAAAGCCAGCAGACTGAGAGGTTGGTAGACTAATGTCTTGGAGAACCATTCTGCTCTAGTGAGAATACAGGCTCCTTTTATACAAAAAAACAAGGGAGGGGGTGTGGTTGGTTGTTGCAGACTTCTTGGTGCAGGCATTCTTTGTTCTTGCAGCTGTCCACAGTGGGCCAGGTCATGGTGTCCCTGTAAAGTTCCAACAAAACAAAGGTTATTCTCTATTTTGCAACTTGCCATCTCCACTAAGTGCAGAAGTGCTAACATCCTTAAAGGTCAGATCCCCCAAGAATAGGCTCTCCTGTATATTTCAGGCTAAAGGCAACATTGTTTCACAAAAGGTGCAGAGCTGGCAAGACTAAGCCTAGAAAACAGGGCGCAGTGGTTAAAACTAAAGGAACAAATCCAATATAGAGTCAGATTTGTTCTCCTCTATTACAACAGCAGGATGGTCAGGCGGGAGCTGGAGCCAGGGGGGAGACAGACAGAGCTCTTGCCTGGAACGCTGCCCAAGGCAAACAGGGAAAAGGAGAACCAGCCTGGCTTCTCCTCTCCTCCCTTTCCTCTCCCATCTCTTGCCAGTGTCTGCCATTATCTCACTCCAGCTGGAAGTCGAATGATGCAGAAGCCCAGGAAAGACAATCTGAGGGAGGATCACGGGGTGAGGCACCACAGGGGAAGAGCAAGGAACAGCCCCAGGGAGTTCATCAGTGCCCAAGAAATAGATGCTGAAAAGTGAATAAAACCAAATTGTGTGCAGTGCAAGCATTCCTGGTTGAGTCAGAATTCTGTTGGTACCAGCCTTGACGGGTCTAGCTCTATAACAAAAATGCACATGAACAGAGACCGGAGGTCTAGAGTCCCTACCTGGCAGAAAATCTGGAGAGACACAGTCTGGCTACTGTCATTTAGTGATGATTCTGTTACTGATCAGTCCTCCTCCTGGCTGACTCTTTCAATGACCATGCAATGTGCTGCTTTAGCTTGGGATGAATCACTGATAAATGTTTATCAGTAATCCTTTACTGATTGATGAAACTAATGGTCATTTCATTCTTTCTGTGTTGATTTCACTATTTAATTTTTATAAGGAGAAGGAATACTGATTTTACTTTCAACTTACTTAGGAGGGGAGCACCCGGGAGCGTGCATGTCCCAATAACAGAGACCATAATAATCTCCCAAATTTAAAGGAATACATGAATATTTCAAATCACTCTAAAAAAGCTAACAAACCCATGGGAATTAAATCATCTTTTGTATACTAGCTCTTCTTCACAGTCTTATTTGCTGAAGACAAAAGGAAAAGACTATTATTAATTCTGAATAAAACACACATATACACTAAACAATACTCAACTATTTATCTGGGATAAAAAATTCTCCAGTGTGTTCCAGAATGTTAACAGAATATATTCAGTTCTTCCTAATTGCCCAGATAAAATACATGATATTATAACAATTACGTAAGAATCCAGGAATGTTAGCATGAGCTGATTTGATCTGTAAATTTCCCCCAGGATCCATTATTAAAGAAACACAAATTCAGAAGAAAATATATACCTGTACAAATGCTTAGAAAATAATAACACAGTTCAGATGACTGTTTACTTCAAATTTATGCCTGTTTATAGAAGACATCTGGATTCTCCTTTCTCTCTTTTCATAGCACTCTCCTTGAAAACAAACTATAGGTTGAGTGGTTCTTTTGGGCACCTTCACACTACGTAGTGAATTTGCTAAATTGTGAATTCAGTAAAAATTGCTAAGCTAACTGCACTGGGGCTGATTCATTTGTGCCAATTAGACATGACCTTATCCTGAGCATAGGGTTGAATACATCTTTCCTTCTCTCCTGTTTATTATTTTCAGTGATTGATAACATTCATCTCAAGTTTGAAGAAACAGGCACTACCCATGGGATTTGTGAATTGCTTTCTGCTTTTAAGTAGCTGCTGAATTGGTTCTCATTGCTGTTCCTTCTTATTCTTTATAATTGAGAATGACTGAGATGAGTTTGGAAGTTTGTGAAAGTTACATTCTTTTAAAAAACAAAGCATGTTACACATGATCCTCAAGGAGTCACCACCTAAAACTTTGCACAAAAGTCTGCCATTTGTAGTAGTGCCACCCAGATTTCCTCTACCAGCTGGAGTACCCATTGTTTGGCTGCTCTGGTTGGTGGTTGCTTTTGGCTCAGAGTTACCCTCTTCTCTGGCGGATTGCCCTTGGCTGATTGGAGTCACCTTGCCAGTAAGCAAGGTGAAAAATTTGAAATTTGTAACAGTCAGCCTACTTCCTTCTGGGCAGGGTAACCTCTGCGCTACAATTCATCCTCCATGGCTCCCCGTGAAATCAGGCTGGGGCTAATTTTCTCTTTCTTAGGTCCTCCTCCTGCTTTATCCTGCTTCCATGATTCCTTATAAGTTTCTCCTGGAACACTCCCTCAATTAAATACTTACCCAAGAATCTCCAGCTCAGGCTCTGTTTCTAGGGAACTCACCATAAGACACTATTAATTACCTGTTTTGACTCCAGAAAAGATTGGTTAAGCTCTCCAGACCAAAACAGGGTAAACATTTGGTTCACTACCCACTAGAATAACTATGACTAAGGGTTAGTAATTATTTCCATAGCACATGGGTACTGTTCCTCTTCCTCTGGTTATCGCAAACTAGATAAAATGTCTGCATGTTTAAATCACTTCCACTGACAGTCTGAAAGTCAGTCTGCTTCCACGAGCCTTCACTCTTTGGACTGTCTAGGTTAAAGTCCTCATCCCCATGCCTTCGTGGTTTCCTTTGCAGCTCAAGGTTGAAAGAAGGTTAAAAACAAATCACTGATAGAGCACTGACTCTGCAGAGGAACCTGGCTGGAAGCTTTACAGATATTACTCCATTTGACTCTCACAACAGCTTATTAAGGGACATGTTATCAACCCTCCTTTAGAGACGATGAAATTTCATCATCTCAGAGACCGCTTGTAATATCCATAGACACACAGCTAGTAAATGGCAGAGTGAGAATTCCAATCCAGGCCTACTGACTACAAACCACTCTCTTAACCTGTTCACCCAGGTGTTAAAGATCAGCATAGAGGGGCATATTTCCTTCTCAAATTCAGCTCCTGTATGTCCGTTCCTGTGGCACACACTGTCAGTGCCCACCCAGAACCCTGATGTCCCTTTTCCTGTAGCGTGCACCCACCCCAGCTGTTGAGCGCTTTCCAGCCAGTAGGTCCCACTATGACCAATGCAATTCACTGAATTGCCCTTGACCACTAGAATAGCCTTACTGGAATGCACTCTAGCCTGCAGCCTGTAACTGATTGACGTGAAATTCCAAAAGCCCAGCACCTTTACCTGGTGCCCTCCAACTTCCTAGGGGTTTGATGGAAGCTGGGGCTTCATCAGAAAGCTCACCCATGTTTGGCTTCTTTTTCCTTCCTTAGCCTGCTTCACCTCCCTCCCCTGGCTTCCCTAGGACCCTTTCCTTAACAAATCATTTGCACCTGAATTCTTGGCTCAGCCTCACCTTCTGAGAGACTCTTCACTAAGTCAATATGCAGAAGGGAGTAAAAAGGGAAATATTTATCAAATCACTCTGGTATGCTGGATTTCTGGGTCAACTTGTATTTTTTTCTTTTTTGTTGTTGTTAATTGTAAA